CCCCAAAACCCCAAAACCCCAAAACCCCGAGCCACAAGAATTCTGAATATAGAATTATTTAAACTTATATTTATTTAAAAGTATATAATTGCGATATTAGTTATATTAATGAATCAAATCCACACAAAAAAATGAGGAGTAGTAGCTATATTCATCCATATTTTATATGTATGTCCTTACGAATGTTCAGGAAACATTAGACTCATAGAGGTCTACAAATGTTTCAAGTATGAGAATTCCTTATTAGTAGGAAACAGATTTATCAGGGTCTCCAGATCTCATTTTAAAAGATCCCGAAGGAATTTTTTTGTCCTGCTTAAAGAACAATTTGATAATGAATCGTAGACTATTGTTCTCAATCATTTCTGAGAACTTGTCTTAATTATAATGATAAAGTACATCATGAAGTTTTGCACATTCATTGTCATCTTTGTGTAGGGAGGTTTTCTTCATAAATTAGCTATAGAATATGGACCCTAAAAAAAATTCAAATTCTTTTAACGGGATTCAAGTATTAGCCATTCCCTATTGATCGGCAAAAACTATCCCATTCTGTACAATGAAATTGTTTAAGATGAATTTTCTAAGATCACTAATTATCAAATCAGGGTTATTATTTCTTTTCTTTTTGCTAATAAACTAAGTATAAGTCTTGAACTGATTCAAGAAATGTTTTCTAATTTGTCTAAGAGCAGCTTTTATGTGGGCATCCTCTCTCAATTTAGATTTTTGTTTTCTTTGTTGGTTCACTAACTTGATAGAATGTTTTAGAAGTGCTTTATTATTAATTTTTGTTGACTAAGCATATAGTTCTTATGAATCCTCTTTTAATTAAGCATCCATTTTTCTACCTTCTTGCTCGTTATATGGCCCATCATATTATTCATTTGATGTAGAGGGAGTTAAATCATAGCTAGCATTTTGGAATTATGTATCTTCATTATTTTAATAAGATTGCCAAGATTTTATATTCTCTAAATTTTCCTCGGGATTTTAAATGGCTGGACTTTTGAGTAAGAATGATTAGTATTAGAGACTTGAGCAATCGCTAGTGGAGCCAGAGTTCACTGAGCTTCCCTTAGTAGTGTCTTTATAGCCTAAAAGCATTTGATCAATATCCAAAGAAGCTTGATTAGTATGATCATCAATGTCTTTCCGGAGATAATGATCAACATTGAAAATTTGATCATCCTGGTTTTAAAATGATGTACTACGGACTTCTGTAAGTGCAGAGCTAAGGCTTTATGAGAATTAGTTTAATTCTACCTGATTTTATTTGAAGAAATAATCATCTAGTCCTTCTTCAAAGACGGACTTAAAATTTTGATTGTCATCTTGCTTTGTAAGATGATCAAACATTTCTCCAATTTTAAAGCTGTAATTATTGCTTTTGCTCATCAATCCAAATGAATTATTTACTTATGATTATCTTGGATAGTTTGATAGATCTGAGCTTATTATGAATCCATTTAAAATGTCATTAAAAGGTTCTTTGTTTTGCGGTAAAAATGATTTATATTTGAGATTCTACATGAATTAACAGATTAGCTGTGATTTTATTAATAACAACTAATGAGGAATTATTAGATCTGATTATTTAACTTCTTCCTTCTATTCTTATCTGATTATTTATTTTTATTCGTAAACTAATCTTTTAATAGGTATTTTAAAAACGAAGTCTACCGTTGTGAACAATAGTTTTCTGTTCAGACAATGAGATCGGTTATTAAATTTTGTTTGAAAAATTACTAATTAAGAATTTCATTCTTAAAAAATTACCAATTAAGCTTGTACTAATTTTGGTACATTTAGAAAAAATTATATGATTGATAATGCCCATTAACTTATTTTGAAAATTTGATGAATTCTAATAAAGAAGGTAGATTATAGCAAGTATTATATTTCCTATTTAACTATTAGTAATTAACGCAACTCGAAGAGTTAAAATGAAGAGTTGGAAAATCGATTTATCTCTTTTAAATACATTGATAAGATGATTCCTTAAATAATCACAAGAATTGAGATAAAAAGATGAGAAATCAAATGCTGCATCAAAATTATAAACTTAATAGAAGTGAATGATTTGAATATCACCTTTCCAAAGGGTAAATACTTTATAAGGATTGAAGATAGAGATTTTTTTAAATTCAGTTATTTGATTTTTAAGTTGGTGTATATTTTTATTTTGAATTTTTCATTTCCTCATATGTTAATTAACTTTGTCAAATTTACCTTATTCCTTAATATATCATTTATTTTACTCTCAGATTCTTATTAATGATACTCTTTGGGGTTTTGGGGTTTTGGGGAGATCGGAAGAGCACACGTC